ACTATAAACCTTTAAGGTAAAAAGGCACTTGCACATGCGTTGTGCAGGTAGCATGCGATAGACCTGAACAGGGAGAAACTCATTTCTAGCTGCACATTATTCGCTGACATCTACTACTGTAGCTTTGCATGATTCAAAATCTTTTGTTATGCTGGACCTTGGTGCAGCCTTTCAGCTAATTGCTAGTTATTGTGATTGGTTGCCCTTGCAACGACGTTTAAGAGGCTATTTTCATTCAGAGTTACCGGCACATTTACTGATCTCATTGATTGAAACTTTGCCCATGTTTTGAATAAACATCCACTATTGTAACAGTATATGTACAGCACTGTGCAAAAGTCTTTAGCCATCCCTCATTTGTTACAATTTTACAGGAAAATGAGATATAGAAAAAAAAACATTCAGAAGAATGAAGTTGTTCTCCATGAGATGTTTTCCAGATTGTATTGCACGGTGGATCAAAAATCTGAAGGTACTTTTTTGCGTTCATAATTCCATTAATCTTGACAGGATTCCCAACATCACTTTGTGAAATGTAGCTCCAAACCATGACGAAGTCTCCACCATGGTTTACAGGTAGCTGTAGACACTCATCGTACGTCCTTCTTCATACATACAGATTTGGTGATTTAAACCAAATATTGCAAATTGAGATTCATCGTTCTCTAAGACCTGTTGCCACTGATTTTCGTATGCACTTTGGCGCACCTCACCCTTTTCTCCCTGTTTCCTTTTGTTAAGAGTGGTTTCTTGACAGCCAGCATTTCTGATGAGGCTTCAGTGAACAGTAAATGGATCAACTGAAGGATCAGATGGATGTCAGAGGTCCTGTGTCAGGTCTTTGCTGGATTTTTTCCCCTATTTCTTAAGAACATGACTTTTAGATGTTGTTCATCTGCCACTTCTTCCTTCATCCTTTACTTGTTTCCTCAAGTGTTTTTGAAGGACACACTTCACACGATGCCAGGTTTTCTACTAATAACTCTCAGGAATTAAATGTTGGTGCAATAATAATATTTTATGCCTTTCAAACTTTTATCTTTGCCATTTTTTGCAGTTTCAAGTAAAGAAGTGAGACCAAATCACGTGTTTTCTGCAACAGGCCTAAAGTTACACTTTAAAACTGCATCTTTGCTAATTTGGTGTTACTTGTGGACACGACACTGGTTCACCCCTTGAGCCAAGAGTCTTTTTCTTATGCCGGAATCCTTAATAGGTCAGTGTTAAATGGCTTAACAAATAAAGAAAAAACATTCATCTGAAAAAGGTCATGTGCAAGGATGGGACTAAACTCTGGAAGACCTTCAGAAAGCCTGAAGAATTACTGTTAAACACCACTTTAAAAAGTTACAAACAGTCCCCTCATAGGCAAAATATAAAGAAATGAGGGGTGGCTTAAATTTTCTTTGCAGTGCTTTATAACACAAAGTAATGAAAACTAACAGTGCCCCTTCATTAAACACCATTCATCAAAGTGTGTTTTTCTAAGTCGTTTTCTTCACACTAAGAAAAATAGAGGCATTTGGCAGCACCCCCCCCCACCCTCCAGAGCCTATTAGGTATAGACAATAATTAGTAGGATTTTCTTGTGAATGTTGGTGTTTTCTCTGTACATCAGCACTCTTGCACATGTCTCGTGCTTGTCTTTGTGTGACACTGATTGGTGCTTTTCCTGGCAACAGTCCAAACAGCCTTTCCTCCACTAAACAGGCGTGGTGCTGCTGGTGAGAGAGATGAGGGCTCGGGGGTGGGGGGTTGGGGTATGTGTGTGTGTGTGTGTGGCGGGGGGGTGACATCTTTTGACATCTCTGTCACATTATTTCATCAGCCACAGAGGAGACTCATTAGGTCCTTTCTGACAGATAAAATCACATCTCCAGCACAGCGCCGTGTGATGCGGTTCCTATATATAAAGAAAGGTGTGGAGGCACAGCTGGTGAATTTTTAAACTTGCATCCAAGGCAGCAAATAAAGTATCTGGAACGGATTATATTCTGTAATTGCTTGTGATTTATTCAAGAGAAGCAGAGCAGTGGATGCTTAACAGCCCCACCAAGGATTGTGTTGTGCATGATTTGTATTCCTTCCCATGGACACGCAAGCTGAAATTCTGGGTAAAATGGAGATAAACTGAAAAGAAGTCTAGTCTGGAAGGCAGGAAAAAAAAGACCCTCTCACACACAAACTCTTGACACGCACAAGTAGAAAAAAAAACTGCTATCCTTGACACATGGTTTGAGATACATGGAGGACATCTGACAGAAGATGTAACAGCCTGCCTCACTCGTCCCCCCTCCTCCTCCTCAGCATCAGCAGCACGGCACACGCATAAAGGAACAGAGTAACATCTGGAGCACATGAAAACACATTTCTTGGTCGTACGCTTCAGCCTTGAGTCATGTTCAAAAATCGCAACAAACACAAGAACATCTCAAGTCCAGACATAAAAAAAAAGGAGGAGAGGAAAGTCTAGAAGAAGTTTGCTTTTGTATTTATCAATATTCATTTCCATGTATCACATATCAAAGTTTCCCACTACTTTTATGGGGCGTATAGTACAAAAATAAATGTTTAATACATACAAGCGCACGGAAAAAAAATCCCCGAGGTTTAGAGGGCTCAAACCCCATTTGATCTCCAAAGATTCCTGGCCTGCAAGACCTTAAATATTTATGGACTCCAACTCAAATACCCCTGCTGTTGCCCACACTCACAAAAAAGGGCCTGAGATGCTTTCTATTCCTAATCAAATTAATGACAATAGGCAACACCGCAGACACAGAGATCCCTTTTTGATAAAGAAAGGGACGATGTCTTTTTAATAAAATGATCAATACACAAATCCCTGTTTTTAAAGCTTTTATATTTTCAAATTTAAAGCTGCTGACGCCAATAAATAAATAATAAACTGCTATAATTTCAAGCTAACACATTCCAAAATCTGCACGACTTCACAGCTATGTGCCAGTTGCTCTTGCATTGTTGCTGAATCTGTGGTATATGTTGCTTTTTAGAAGAAAAAAATCATAACAAAAATGCACAACATCCTTTTTACAGTCACATCTGCATCAATAAGTTAAAGCAGCCCTCCAGTATATTTTTTTGATCATCTCTCTCAGCCACTAGTGCTTGCAAGTGATCACGGCTCAGCACACTGAGCGTGTGAATTTGCAGTTTTTGGAGTTCCCATTTCTGCAGAAAGGTCTGATAAGGCTGCAGGTACTGAACAAAAAAAGGAAGGATACTGGACTACCTTTCCCTGAGAAAACTCATTTTTCTCATATAAGAACATCTTTTTCTTCTGTCTGAATTTTCCAAAGACTAAACTCAAATATAGCAGCACAAAAAAAAATCCATCCTGTAAGTCCACAGCCGCTGGCAGTCTCTCACGGACTCCCTGGCCTAATAGCTGGCAGATACAGTCCGGAGCCCTTAAACAAGCTCTTCAACAATATGAGCCCACTTATAGACTCGCTGTCTTTTTTTTCTTAACTGTCTCCTGCTCTTTGTGCACCTGGGTTTCTTTGCGTGTTCTGTCTCTTGACACTTACGCCTTTGTGCTCTGTGTCCAAATTTGGCTTCCCTCCCACACTGTCTACATGCAAGCTGCAAATCTAGAAAGTTATACAGCGAGATCTATTTCCAGCCACTGCACAATATACATTTCCATTTTCTCTGTTGAAGAGGGAAAAAAAAAAGAGCATAACGTGGTCTTTCTATACAGTGCACACCAGCCACAAAGCAGCACTTTAAAACCTTTATCGCACTCCACAGATGTCTAGGAGACAAGGAAGGGGGGGGGGGGGGGGGGGGGGGGATCACGGTATAACTGACTGTGTGCACTTGTGTCAAGAAGTGCCAACTGGTAATTAGTGAACCACTGGTTTGCCACCTTGTACTTAATTACTTGTTAAGTCATCTTTCCAGTTTCTTGACTGAGGCAGCATTGCTCTGTGGCAGAGTATGAGTGCGCACACAGCTCGGAGAGCCTCGCTTCAGGATGTATAATACCAACTCTATTATTCTGTTACAGCATAATAACAGCCGCTAATTATTATTTAATCTGCTGATTATTTCCTCAGATAACCATTCAGTCTAATCCTCTAATCAGGATGTTTCTTTTCCCCTGACCCACAGAGACCCACGGAGATACAGAAAAGCAGCAAATTGAGGTAATTAAAAAAACTCACACTGGATAATGAATGACATTGTTGCTTGAAATAAAAAAAGACTAAGAGAAGAGAAGACAACCCCCTAATTACCCAGACAGTTTTCCATTTGTAAATTGTTTGCCCATAAGTAGAGCTTGATTCCGAAGCAAAATTACTCAGTGAGTTTAGACATCATACTGTGAATGAGCTCAAATATTTTCTTTTCTCACCTCACGGATGCAGAAATGAACGGAGATCATACTGCGTGCGCACAACAGAAATCTGCGTGTTAATATGCAAAACACCAGCAAGACAAAATTCACATGAATTTGTGCACTCTGGAACACAAATGGTGTTTGTTGCAACTGCAATAACTCACTGGTATATAATTATAACTGTATGTGAAATGAACCGCCGAAGCTCATATCCTTGATAACACATTTCTTGGCAGTGTGAGCAAACTTCAGCAGAATTAATAGGCTGTATTTCAACAGACAGAGCAGCAGAGCAGGTGCAAAGATGGTTTTGAAAGAAGCAGCCAGGGCTCAGCAGGTGACTTGATTTAACACTTCATCATCACAGGATCAACAACAGAATGCAATATTACAGAGCCGATAATTGCTTGCTGACAAATCTGAAATTTTCTATGTACGATTACATTTCACGCATATTTCAACTACTTAAAAAAGGCCCTGCGCTCGCTTTAAAGCGATCGGGTTGCATCTTGGCATGCGCGAGTCACGGCTTAGTATTTGCAACTTGTATTTTTATGCCAAGCACAGAGCGACATCAGCATAAAGAAAATGTCCTCGGTGTATCACGAAGCCCGAACGATCTGTGTAAACTTACATCGATGATTGCGACGCTTCCCCTTGTACATGGTCATTATGTACCGGTCCAGCTTTGCGCTCTTTCAGATACTTGAGAGGCAGAGGGCGTAAGACTTCAGCGTGCTGCGATACTTTCTGACTGGAAATAAATTAGCCCTTCAGACGGAGAATTGGAGGCACTTCTAGAGCGAGGACCATACCATGCTTAGAGACGGGAGGGGGGGAGCGGGCTACAGTGCACTCTCCCCCATACAGACATCAGAGCCGGTCAAACAAAGTAAATTAGGAGAAAACAGCCGGGAAGACAGATTATGATAAACTCCTTTAGTTTATATGGCTATAGAATAAAATGCAACCTTTAGATTCACTAAATACGCAAGTAAATCTTCCAGTTGTGCCGAGTCTTCGGTATTTTGACTAGATTTTTGAGTCACAAAAATAAAATCGTTTATTGTTTAGTCATTTAAAATTCAAATTTGGCATCATACATAATACATACATATACGTAATACAAGCTGTATTTTTCGTTGCTCTGTTCAGCCAATAAGATAACATTAAAACACTAACAAATGGGAAAAACACTGCGTATCTCCTTAAAATGCAATGTTCTGCTGATTTCGTGTGAACGATATTCTGGGACGTGCCAGATCACCAAGACAACAGCGGCAACCTCACCAGCAAGACAAGGCATCCCACTAAAACTGATAACAATCTCAGTGGGTGGTAACCCCCACAAACAACACTATGTCCATTGCTCATTGGAGCAGAGCTGGTTTAAGAGATCCCACAGTACAAAATATTGGGTACCCAGTTTAAATATTGTGGCAAAAGGCATGTAAAATTAAAAGCATTATTAATTATCCCTTAATAATGAAAGTGTCCTCCTTAGGGGGAACATTTTTAACATTTTTGGTAAGTTTTCCAAAAGTTTCCAAGATAAGACTGAACGTAGCAGACCTGATTTAATAAGATAGGTTTCCAGGTGGGCTTTCAGATTAACTGTTCTACAGAGATACCACACTAATATATAAATTCTTTGTGAAGATGTGAACATAATTTGTTGCCAGTATATTAAGCTTTTTTTTCTAATGTTTGTTTGGGGTTTTTTTTGTTTCTTTCAAGCTATCTATGTATTACTGAAAGATTTGGAGATGGGAATATTTCAGATATTGTGTCAAACTAGCCTCCTTATTGTCACCATAGAGGAGGATTCATCAAAACTGTCATGTTAGCAAAACTGTAGGGGTGAAGCTACTTGGGCACTGTGGCCATGTGGTAAATTATATTTTAGCAGTGGCTGTATGCTTAACACTTCCGTTTTGGATTTGACATCATGATGGCACTACTGTAGGTCCTGGACATTTCCCCTGAGGCGATTTCATGGTAAGCCATTTGACAGATGTCCAGACAATTTTCCTATTGGCACTATGCAGGGAAAACCTGCTGATTAGGAACTGATATTGTGCTGGGCCATAAGTGCCTGTACAAATGTTCATAGCAATCCACTTTAGTCAGGACCAAAAGCGGACCTAAGGACTGTGTATGTACGTAGCTACCAGGACGTCTCCCTGTTAGTTAAATGCTGCTATGAAGACTTTGTTCACCACTGCTATCCTGATGTTTTGAAACCAAAACATATCAACGGTATATTCATCTGTACTCTTTTTCACTTTAACTGAGACCATCATTTACAAAAGTAGTAAAATGTTGTACTAAAAAAGTCAGTGAAGCCATAAACTAATCAGCAAAGTGCTTATTTAGGTTTTAGATAAAGGGAGCCAAGAAGTAATGTTTCCATGGACCTTTAACCAGACTGAAGTACTGTGATCTGCTACTATTTATACCATTATTGGTCAAACTTTTTGGGGCGTCCTCGTGACCTTGTCCCTTTGCCAGTTTGCTGAATACCAGCTTGTCTGTTCTGCCACAATCCATCCAGCAGATGTAGCTTAGCAAGTGTAACCACTTTGTCCTAACTGTAGTCGAACACTTGGAAAGCTTCAGGACGTCAGATTTGAGTTTGTTATGTGTTGCCAATACTTGAAGTTCAAAAGGCAGTGCAGCGAGCATCAGGGGAATGGCTCCAGGATTTGAAGATGCCTAGTTAGGGAAGACCATGTCTTTTTTCTGTACAGAAGAATACTAAAGTAACACAGCTGCCATGTAAACAGCTAGCTTTGTGTAGATGTATAGGTCTAACATTTGTGTTGAGAGAATCGAGGATATTTGCAGCTTTGCTTATTCATTTTTCTTAATTCATGGGATTAGACTGCCGTCACATGTTATTTATCTGCTGAGATAGGTACATTTATGTGCCTTCTTGAGTTCATCAGCTTATGGCGTTAACCCGGCTAAGTAACAGACTCACATTGATGTCCACATTGCTGGCATTACTCAAACTTATGAGCCTTTAAAATGCTTCAGGTTTGTCCGTATGCTGGAAATAACTGGATTGTCATTCATTCAAAGGGCACAATGTTGCCATGGTACATCCTTTTTGATTTAGCACAACAAGTAATATTCAATCTGATAGTTATCTTACACATGTGCATTTACTGACACTGGCATAAAAATAATAATACACTCCCTCCACAGCCTCTAGGCAAGCTTGAAAAAGGTGCATCTCATCTTACTTGCAAAGGGGATTGTGTTGCTAAGGAGACAAGGGGAAGGAAGCAGGATGGATGTTGATTTTGTGTGATTTATTCCAATATATTACTTTATTGTTGTGTGGGGTAAAAAAGCACTACGTGCCCCCTCGTTTTTGGCTGAATTGTTCAGTGAGAGAGAGCAAAAAAGAAATCACTCTGAAAACTAAGATCATGGAAGAAACAGAAATTCAATCAATATTGCTCCACTCTGAAACTGCTGCTGCCCTAACATGCCCCCGGTGACAAATGGTCTTCTTTATATTTTCACTTTGAAACCTAGAAATGATGAAGACCCTCAAAGTAGATCTTGTGAAAATGGGCAAATCAAATAAATCAATACAGGCTGTGATTAGTGGTTCACACTGAGCTGTAGGTCAAAGTCATTTGTTGGGAAACCTTCAGCCCTGTGAACCTTTTTTATGGTAAAATGTTTAAAAAAAAAAAAAGATTATAAACCATTTCCATTCAACTGCAGCTAGTGATGAGAGAACCAGATAGGGCAGCGGGGACATCTGCTGTCCATGATGGATTAATACAACAAGAGTACAAAACTGAAAACTCGGCTAATCAAATGGGTAATAAAATGAGATTTTTTTAAATACACAAGGCAAGCACTAGAAATGCACTCCGACTTGACTCAAGGTCTTTTCATCGAGCTTTAGGAAGGATAAATATCTGGGCAAGGCTAAATTCCACATTTAATGCTTTTCTTTAGTTTTTTTGTTTTACAAAATACCTTATTTTTTTTTAATTAAATGCGTCTTTGTCAAGCACACTTCAGCAACCTTGTGAGTGGTGAAAACAGCAGCATTCCCCTTTTTAGAGCAGTCATGAGCATTCACATTTGATGTTTGAAGTTTTATGTTGAATACGTCAAAACTGCAGCACTCTGCACCTGTTTAGTAACTAAAGTTTGAATAGCAAGCTCAACAAGTTGAAGACCTTAGAAGGTTTAAACAAAATGCCTAAGATTTCTATAAAGTTCGCAAAGCCGCCGATTTATAATGTATTAACAAAGGAACTAATGTATTTCTGAAAGGAGTTCAGATAAAATCTTCTGCTTCTGTCCTTTCTGTTGCCTTTTATATTTTTTTCATTGTCTTTCTAACTGTTTCGGTTTTTCAGCCACCAAGTTGAATTTAATTGTAGGGTCATTTTTAACTGGATATAGCTGAGCATTAACTGGCTGAATGAGATATTTATTTCAGGGTCAACTGAAAAGGACTAGGAGAGTGAATATTGCCCCAGCTTTTTAAAAACGATGTTCACCTTGCAGCCTATTTGCTGCATGTTTAAATAAGCCAAAGAAGAAGAAGAAGAAGAAGAAAGAAAACACCATTCAAGGCAACTGGATTACACTTTTTATCTGAAAAAGGACACAACTTTATTATATACACATCTGTACACAGGACCAGAGAGCTGCCAAACCTTTCATAGGGACTATCTGTCTTTTTAAATATTAAGCTGCAGCGCTGTTAGCAATATTGCACCTTAGTGCAGTTTAAATCCAGTTAAACTAATTTAATAACATTTCTGTATATAAGGGAAAGATAAATGCAATTACCAGCAACTGAAATTGGGTGATTTCCTAAAGAAGACGAATATACCCCGTTTGCAGGAAACTCATAAAGTCTTCATAGCACTTAGCACATCATTACCCTTTTTAAGACACAAAGAGCTCAGTAGAATATGTACATGCATCAACCTAATCTAAAGTGCTCTGGATTCTGAGACAATCTCCGCTGGCATTTGAAGCACACCGCCTGTTAACAAATGACCCTCATTTATGGCTGAGATGGAGGATGCCCAGGGGGGATATTGTCTACATGATGGATACAAATCTGCTCAAGCCATCACATCTCATTGGCCTGTGACTTACAACCTCTCTTAGCTCATTAGACAGCTACTGCTTTTGGCACTACTGAGTAATTGCAAACGTATCTAGTGTGTCAACTGCTGCAACTGCCTAGCAGTCTGTGACGAGAAATTATCTCTTTGTGCTAACAGTGTGTTTACATGGCTTGAACACCTCACTTGTTTGGATTCAGTCCAGATCGACAAACCCCTCAGACAAAACCCCCCGAAAAAAGGCAGGAGAGATGAAAATGAAAATTTACAATTAAAAAAAGGACTGCTATATTTCTGCATTGTTAGCAGTGCTTTTATATACATTTCAACACATCCTAACTTTCCTTCTCCAAGTTTAGGCATGCAGATTAACCTCCTTTTACTCAAAGGGCCAACATACTCAAAGGGGATTTATACTGGGAGGATTATTTGCAGTGAGATATACTTTAAAACTCACTGTATAAGGAAACAGGATCCTATACTACCTATTGTGTTATATCTTTAGAAGCAGAAACAAGAACAAAATGTCTCAACTAAACGAGAGCATCCCTCCAGTTCAAGTGCTGATTGTAACCCAAACCTGAGAAGGAAAATTGCACCCTCTAGTGGAGAATACACAGCATAACAGCGATGGCTGCTTCTCACAAAGAGATTTGAAGGAAAAACAGATTTCCATGTTAAAAATAGAAATGACATATATGTTTCTGTACTGTGTGTGGATTTTTGTGGAAATTCTTTAGCTGAGTATCAGACCAGTGTTATCAACAGGCAGCTTTTATCTGGTAATGAAAGTAATGATCACACAATCGTGATGATTTTGTAAATATGAGCGTGTATCATTTTTGGTTATGGTACATGCAAATAAACCTGCCTTCAGTAACATGTCCTTAGGCGCTCAGTGTTAATGGGCACACACCATGGCCAAATTCTGCTTTCCTATAATTTCAGTCTAAGTAAACAGAAATCTATATTTGTACAATATTACTGACCCAAATCATTTGAACAGTATGATATAGTTTATTCTTTATTAGGGGAAAGACAAGACTGCAAAAGTCAAGAGCCACCCTTCATTTCTTTATATTTTGCTTTCAAGGAGCCAAATCAATTTTCCAGGTTTTCTGAAGGACTTTCAAAGTTTGTCTTTGGGTGTTGGCTGCTTTATACCTAATATTAAAAAACACCCCAATGTTTTCTATTTTAATTTTTTTTATGCTCATTAAGTCACTTAACATTTACCTATGAATCACTCAAGCATAAAAGAACGCATGAACCTGCGTTGTGTCTACACATAACAGACAACGTCACCAAGAAACAATTTTAAATGGTATCTTTAGGACCTATGCTACTAGCAGCCTGTCAGAAAAACACATTATTTTGCTCTTCTCAGTTGGATCTATAAAAACAGTGTGACAGGCATAAAATAGTGTTCTTTGCTCCAACAAAGTGATTTCCAAGGAGCTATGTAGACAAAAACGTGGCATAGCTCTGCATGGTGTACAGTGTGTTTGAGGAAACTGTGAAGGACAAGTGTTAGACCAAAACCAAAAGTTGTGTCATAAGAAAGAGGTAAACATTAGGCAAAGATCTGACAAAGGACCTGAGTAATGCATCTGGCCCTTCAGCTGATCCATCAACGACAGTTAAGGTTAATCTAAATTGCTTTAAGTTAATTTGGCATCACATACCCACTTCAACAGCTCAGTTATTCATGCATTTCATGATATTTTCTCATTTTTCATATTGTATGACACATTGGACTCAAGCAGCACCATCTACAATTCAGCATGTGATATCCTTATATAATCAATCTTTGAAAATAATGGATAAAAAATCTGTTCGACTGCATCATTGTCACATTTTAAAGAAATATAATTTACTTAGTTTGAAGAGTATTAATCATTTGTGTTTTTTTAAACGAGTCTACAAGTGTATTAATAGACTGATCCCAGAGAGTCCTACTGTCAGGCATTGTGTGGAGGCGAGGAAGAAGGAACCCAAATGCAGGACTCGCAGGTAGGTGAAGACTGGTGAAGGTTTATTATAAGGAGTGGATGAACAGAACAGAGGTAGAAAATGGCTGGCTGGACGAATGACTGAAGGACTGAAGGACTGGCTGAATGGCTGAACGCAGGCGGAAACGACAACATAACATCAATGACACGACAGTGAACGAGTAGAAACAGAGGGCTTAAATACACAGACTGATGAGGATGATAATGAGAGACCGGTGAGTACACAGCTGAACATAATCTGGCTAATGACACGAGACGAGCTGACACAGGAAAAGCAGGAAGTGAGAACATGGAAGTGGCAAAATAAACTGAACGTGAACAAAACTGAAAACACTGGGTCACCGACCCAGGAACCCTGACACCTACATCCAAAGACAAGATAGTAATCGCATTACTAGGAGTATGGTGAATGGCAACTGCAAAATATCATATCGCAGATCTAAATTTGGACAATCAGTGTTTTCCATAAAGGCTCGCCATCTGTGGAACACACTTCCAACTGAAATCTGACTGATTATAGATATTAGTTTCTTTACATTGAAGGTTAAAGGGAAATCAGAGCTGTAGTCATTTTAATTAATCTTTTTGTTTGTTTTTAAATTGTCTGTTAATTGTAGCAGTACTCATGGTGTATTTTGGTTTCATGAAAATGTATGTTTTAACTCTGTGTATTGTGAATGTAAGGCCAACAAGGGACAATAGTTGGAAATTAGCAATAGCTATAAACTTCTGTGCAGTACATCAGTTTCACGTTTTATACTTGGACTATGTTAAACTGCACTGTCCCTTTTAAATAAAGAATTATAACATCTACTGGGAGAAAATGCTGAGGTATGCCAAATACTGAAAATCAGTGGCAACGGGTCACATAGAGCGATTCATCCAAATTTGAAATTGTTAGTTCAAAAAAGTCGAGCAGAGAGGAATAGCAGTGTCTACAGCCATCTGTAAAGCATAGAGGCGGCGCTGTCATGGTTTCGGCTGCATTTCAGCCAGTGGTTTTGGAGAAAATTGAAGCTTAAAACTTTTGCACTGTACTGTAGCTTTCAGTATTGGTGCCTTTCTTGGATTAAAAATACAATTTATTCATTTATGTGCTCACTTTTGATTTTTTCTTAATCTGGGTAACAGCAGGCTGGGTGCTGGACACTATCCCAGCATGCCTTGGACCAGATTTTCACCTGATATTTTGCTCTTTCAGTTTACTAGTGATAATAGTCTTTGTTTGCACATAATGACATTTGAAAATCCATTCTGAGCTAAATATTATGACATTGCTAAAACAATGAACAAATACGAGTCATCCATTCTTTTATTTCCTATTGTATTAAGGATTATGCAGAGTTTGGATTTTATCCCAGGAAACCACAAGCCAAAGTTAATACAAACACTGTATGGCAGAATAATACAATCAATTCAAGAAAATTCAAATAATGTAAGACGAGAAAATATTCAAGCCAAAACCAACAACAAATATCCAAGAAATCTTGCATTTGGTGACAGTAACTAATAACTAAAAATAATAAAGAAGAAACCAAACAGTTTTTGTACAACAAACATTTTTTCTTAAT